ACTTCTTTCATAAACATTTTGTTACAGTGGGAATTGTGTCAGTGGCCCACAATAATGGGAAAATAACTTGTGATTAACTGTTTGCTAACTGAGTACTTTGACTTTTTTGCCAAATAAATTATATTGTAGAACAAGGTTTTCAAGCTTTTCCAGCACAGAGTGCTGCAGAGCAAACCACAGAGCAGGAAACCCTCGTGCACCACCTGATGCACCTTTGCGTAAGAGGAGCCAAGACTGGTATGTGCAAAGCATCTTGGACAGAAAACATCCAGACAGTATTTTTGCAGCGTTCCTCTATGTGAAAGCTGAACAAGGCTAACGGAGCAGTACGGTTTTACTCTGGGATAAATTACTGTTGTTTGCTATGCAAATCTTATGATTGTAATTAGTCTAGGATTTGGACTGTTGTGTACACTGATCTTTGCTCCCTCTGCGCATGGGAGCTAATTCTAATGCTGCAAAACTGCACAGCAAATGTCAGGTGCTGCTCAGACGCTGATCATTTCTTGCTCAAAGTGGACATTCTAGAAGGAATGATTTACCTCTGCCTTCACAGGGGACATAATTGTACTGCAGGCATCTTGTGGGCCGCTGAAGTGTTCAGGTACTGTAAAGTCTCTCTTGAAAATAGACGTTGGAGAAAACGCAGGAAGGACGTCCTGATAGGCATCTAGTTTTTAGCAAACTGGTTTTAAAAAGGGATGTTGTGCTGCTGATTGGTTAAGGAGCTGGTGGCATGTCTGAGCTATCATGACAGTGATTGCAGTTCCTAGTATGGTTATGTATAGCTCCTGTTATCTCTGCAGCGGACTCTGTGTAACCGCAGCCTGTGGCTCCTTGCCCACGCTAATGAGCTCTCCCCGAGGCTGGGCTTGTGCCTGTGGGGGTGGCACACTACTCGACAGTGCTGCTGTTTTGGAAACCAGATTGTTGACTGTGCTCAAGTCCAGCTTGTCCAAGCTGCTGTGCCAGCTTGGCTACTGTTGACCGCGGGAGCTTGTCCCCGTGCAGCATGGCTGGCCCCAGAGCCATCTGGAGGGCGAGGCAGGCTGGTCACTGAGGCTGCCAGGCTGTATAGTCTGAAGCAAAGGAGAGCTGTCACCTAGACCTGGACGGCAGGGAAGCGCCACCATGGTGAGGACGGTACAGGTGAGCCACATTCACAGCCCATTCTCCTCACTGGGAACATGGCTACCAGCGTTCGGTCAGCTCATGGGGTCAGAGTGCATCCTGCAGGCAGTGGGTCTCACTTTTCTGATGACCCAAAGAGCTAGGGAAAGCCATGGCTGGTGCCAGCTATGCCTCTCACTAACTGGGAGAAGTGGGAGCAGATTCAGGCACAGGGATACCAGGCTTGGGGTGTACAGATGTAGCCTTCTGTTAGCCTCTCCAGAGGCAGTTTGCAGGGGATGAGCACCTTGTCCTTGCGATTAAGGTGGTGGCTGCACACCTGCGACCTGGTCGGAGTCTGCACCTGCACCCGTGCCAGGCTGTCGTGTGTGGCTGTCTCCCCACTGCTGCAGTGAAGTTCAGCAAAGTAAAAGTCTTAACAGCTGCAGGATTTATTAGCTTGTGTAATTGTATCTATAGACAGATAAAAAGGCACAATTTGGAATTTTTTCAGAATCACTGCAAAGACAGAGAAAGAGTGAAGAAATACCCTCTAGGGGACAATATAGCACTGTTGTTCTAAAGGTATAGTAAATGACACGATCTGGTTTTTAACAGCTTGTAACTCCTGTGAATCTCATTTATTTCTTTTTGTTCCCTGCTCATCTAAATCACAGCAAAGCAGAGGAATGGTGGCAGTTTTACTTTTTCTTGCATGCTTGCACATGACCTCGAACCCATTAATTTTGTTTGTGTAAATATAGTTTAAGGGAGCAAGGAAACTGAAAAAGCATTGAGGTACTAAAGTGCCCAATAAAAAGCAGAAAAAACTCTTCTTCACAGAAAATGATTTTTCTAAACAGGTGTATTTCATTTCTAGTGCTAATACAACAAAGGGTGTGTTGTTTCCATGGCTGGATGCTTGATATTTCAAAACAGGTTAGAGTGTGTTTTGAGGCTGTTGTTGAAAAAATGCAGTTTGCCTAATTACCCAAGTTAAAAAGAGGTACAAAATCTGTGTAGGCTTTGCAAACCAGTGCCATGCTGCAGCTACAGATACATTCCTTCACCAATGGCATCGGTAATTTAACATTGAAATACGAAGGATCATGATTTGATCTGTAGTTATCTCTGAGGAAGATTGTAAACTTGACAGTTTTGCACTGTTAGTTTTGGGGAGAGAAATTATGAAGATCTGTGTTCCCCAGGACAGTCCATTTATTCTGTCTGCAGTGCTCCAGTCCTGTGATTCTGGTACACCTGGCAATTTTCAGAGCGCAATAAATTCTGAGTCAGGGTACTAACATGTTGGCGTAGAGTCAGAAATACTGTGCAGTGAATGTAATACCAGTATACCTCTTAAATAACTTAAGTAATCTAGTTATCTTCAGGTTTCATATAAAAAAACCCAAAAAAACAACAAAAACATAGAAAATCTTAGAACAAGCCTTGGACAGCTCTGGGTATTTCAAGGTGTCGTGCAGCTATGCCAGGTCAGAATCCCAAGCCATGCTAGCAAGGTACTTAAAAGCACTTCCAACTCTGCAGCTAATTTCATTCAGGACTTTGTCATGCAGCTTAGATGTGCTACCTGGGGAGCCATCTGTGGGGCTGCTAAGCTCAGTGGCATGCTCAACACCTCTTCTGATGCATAGCAGTCACTGATTTTAGAGGAGTACCTACCCAGTACCCACGTGTGTGAATCATTTCAGACCTCATGACTTCGATCTGGAGGACCAAGGGGGGGTAGCTAATGGAGCACTACTGCTTAATTTGGAGGTCAATCCAAGGAATACCCTTTTCCCCTGCTTTCCTTTTCCAGCCTACCTGTTAGCTGCCCACCCTGGGGCCTCTGCGGTGGGCACTGCCCTGGGGAGGCTGGGAGGTTTGCTCAGGAGCTTGGTAGTGATGAATCATAGAGGTATGGCATGGATTGATAAGTTCGTGTACTTTACGATTAGACACATCCTTCCTCTAACAGCAGTTCTTTGTCTCCATTTTGCTTTTGGTAATGTGTTTTGGCAGTTTGCATACAATGACTCTCCAAGCAGGAGCTGTTTGACTTGAGACAAAGTCACTATTATTGTAGGTAAGCTCAGGAAGCCCTCCTAATTTTGTTGTCCTCAGAAGGGTGTCTTCTGGAATTTATTTAAAAGCCAATTAAGTTAAATCACCAAGGAAATTGGTTTTTTCTTGGAGCCTAGCTGTAAAGGAGTTTCAGGCACACAAATCAGTGTATAACAAGAAAAATCTGCTTTGCAGCTGTATTGTTGGTTTTTGTGCATTTTAAGTGAGGGCTGTAGAGGTGCATGTTCTTTATCTGTAGCACTATCAAAACAAGTAATGTACTTCAGCTACTCATAGTGCAGGTGTGCAGCCTAGGAGCCATGGCAAAAGAAAACTTATATGGTCTCCAAATTATTGTAGACTATTGTAGTGCCTGCAGCCTGACACACACACAGGTCTACCTCCTCATTTAAAATTGATGGAGAGCCCAAAGAACTGGGTAGGAAGACTTCTGGCTTATTTGAGAGATTTTGGACTGGACTATCAGAGTGTATAATTTAGTCAAGTGCCTATATGTGTTTGCAAATGAAAACCTTCTTGAGCTACTCAGAATATGACACTTATGGTGCTACTGTCCTTTCTCAAAGACATCTCCGATGTCTCCCCAGACAAAGTCTCCTGAGCTTTCTATGCTTCTCTTGACCTCTCCTTGGTTACGAGCCCCTGTATGTGGTGAAGCCTCACCTCTCCTGCCCCAGTCTCTGCTACAGCGTCCTGTGGCTCCCTTGGACTCTCTTGACTGTGCTGGCTCCCCTCCTCTGCTCTGTATTGTCACTTACTGAATAGACTTGCTCAGCATAGTTTTCAGAAGGAAAACAAAACGAGGTAGTCATGGATGACCAATACCAGCTTTTGCCTTTTAACTCAGTCGTAAAGCACTTTTGGCTCACTGGTTTGGTTTCTACTGTCTATAAAAAGGGTTTGTGCAAGAAGTCCCCTTTTTCCCATCGCCCTGTGTGACAGCAGTGCCGAGATGACCTTCTGCTGGAAAGTCTCATTGCTCAGTTGTGTCACTGCTCAGTATGAGTTTCCCTGGCAACCAGTTTGAGCTGCACTGAACCAAAAATATCTGTGCTGGGTGAAAGTCAGTTTGCAGACATGTATTATCTTTAATGACTTCTCTGGATGGTCCATGTGTTCAGCCTGCATATGTCATCTTTGGGAACCAGCGACTGGGAGATGTTGTGTGTCCCTTTTCCTCCCTCCCGTAGGAAGCGAGGCCTACAAGAAGGCTGCCCTTGTGTGATTGACAACTTAGTTGTGACTATAAGACTCATCACACTTATTTTTCATGGTACACTGTGGGTCTTGTCTTCTACTGAGAATGGTCTGTGCAGCAAACACAGAGTCTTGAATTCCTTGGATCTCTGCAAATTACAGGATTACATAATCACAGAATGGATAAGGTTGGAAGGGACCAACCTTACTGTGTTGTTACTAACAGCCTTGTCCTTCTCATTTCTGGTGCATTTCATATATGCACCTTGATTTATAGGTGGGCACACAATGAGCTTCTAGTTTTGCTGCCGTCTCAGTCTTAAAAGGCACAGTTTGTGACATCTCCAAGTGAATACATGTATAAATCTTTGGAGGTCAGGACCTAGCAATTTGCACACGAGACAGTGGACAAACTGGAGGTGTTATTTCAAATCTTCCTAATTCAGTTCTTGCAGATAATCTTTTCATTAACTTATGCAGAACACTGGTGTGAAGAAAAGCATTCGTAATTCCAGATGTGTTCTCAAGATGACAAAATTAGAGGAGATTAAATTTGAAAGTAATATGCCATTTTTAGTAACAGGTTCCTTTTTCTGGATTTGTAGGGTGTGAGGATTGCGGTAGAAGCCTTATAGGAGAATGCAAACTCCACGGACCACTCATCAGGGCTAAAGACAGGGTTATTCCCAGCCGAGCCCGTCTCACCCTACCTCACTACCTCACTTTGCGAGTGTTGGAGCTGCGAGCTGGAAACCAGCAGAGTAAGTATTTTAGCTCTTTTTCCCACGTTTGAGAAAGAGGAGGCAAAAGTACTAACACTGGTTTGTTTTCATGAGTAACTCAAGGCATGATCACTGGGCATTAGCAATGTGAAGACTACTTTATTTTCAGCTGGGCACAGCTAAAGCTCACAGTCAGCTACTGTTTTTTATGACTGATTTCTGGTAACTTAGAAGCACAGATTGATGGCAGGACATTAGCCAGAGCTGATGTGACATTCAGCTGTGAGCAACCAGTTAGCTCTGTTCAAGTTTAATGAATGTTGAATTTGTGTCTAATAGTAACAACCATGCACTATTGCTTTTTTTTTTAACACCAAGCATGCAAAACAGGAAAGAGTATTCAATATAAAGTCAGAAACAAAATGGTAAATGATATCACTCATTCAGCCCCTGCAAATGCAGAAGATCACAGTGGGGTAATTTACGTTTTGTAGCATCTTCAGTTCATACTTTGGAAAGACTGTTGTTTCCTTCTGAAGGCAAGGCAATTCAAATGCCCAAACTTGAACAACGAAAAGATGTCCTTAGTGTACAAATTTTCCACAGGTACTTGTGTAAAAGTAGTCCTGCCTAGATTGCATTTCAGAAAGAGAATGACAAAATATCTATTCTGCCACTCTGTTGATATGAGTGTTGCAGAATAATGTTGTGTTTTTATAGATCCTCACCACTGATATTGGGAGAGAACAACCTCTCAGATTATGCCAACAAGCAGAGCACTATGATAACAACAATTTGAGATTGAAGAGTAGCAATTTGTGTTGCATACTCGGTTTAATGTCCTGTCATGGACTTCAGGCACTTTTGCATTCAATGTAGTACCCATTTTTTAAAAAAATACCAGTACCTATTTACATCCTTTTTAGATTCTTCACATTAGGGCTTACTTGTCGAGAAGAAGAATCCATGTGTTCTGCACTGTTTGTTTATCTCCATTTTCGCAGCTGTAAACATATAGGAAATAGTTTGTGATGTCTATATTAATATTATACTGGTCTTTTTTTTGTTCACAGTCCTTGGTGTATTTGCAAAGAAAGTAATACAGAAGAGAACACAGTTTGGTCCTTATGTTGGTCAACTGTCTACAAAATTGACCTGCTATGATGAGAGCAGGCTAGTCCTGCAGGTAAAAACCCACTGACATTCTATGAAGTGCATATGTGTCTTTACCAGTTCATGTGTATTTATATATTTTAGTCAGTCAATTTGCCAACTGATCTGGTTAATTAATTGTACTTTAGATCTGTAAATATTAATGTAAATCATATTATTAGGCAATACAACATAACCTGAAGTACCAAAATGTTCCTGTATATTGTGTTTTCTAGAAGTTTGCTTTTCTGCTTTTTAGTTTTACCATTTCTAGGATGTTGGACCTATCAGTCTAACAGCTCTTAGTAAACTTTTCACAGAGCCTGGCTACTAAACTGTCTTCCCAGATAAGACAAAAGGGTTTGTTCTTTACACCATGCCACTGGGAGGTTTGAGTTTGTGCACTGGATTAGCAATGGTGGCAGAAATACTCATTAAGGCCCTTACTTAGTAGGGAGGAACAGTGCAGGGATGGGGAAACACTTCTTAATAATGTGTTAATTTATATTATATATGAACTTTGACACACAGTGCACTACTCCATTTATTTAGTCAGATTGTTTTCTAGTGCTGGTACCATTTGTTGCTGCACACGCAGATTCGCATCATCTCATCTGGACCATGATGCTGTTGTTCATACTTTATCTAGCAAAAATAGTGACTTTACAGGACTAACCTAGCTTAGGCAAATCTACGTGCACATCCTTTACCACAGGAATTCCTTGGGAGTGATAGCTGATCATAATCCTCTAGGTTCCAGCCTTTTCATTTTGCTGCATGGGGTCATGCCTGGGCACACCTCTTGTGTCATACAGTGAGTCCATGGTCAAGTCACAGCCTCTGTCAGGACTTCCCAACTGGTCACGGTTCTTCCAGAGTTTGTATTTCATATCAGGCCCTCTCGCGCCCCAGTAGAGAGACACCAGCAGCAACTGTCCTGTGATGCACTTTATGTCTTTCTATGAGCTTTCTCCAGAAGCTCAGGAGTGGAAAACAGTGTGTGTTGTGAAGGAAATACTTCCATAATTTTGTTTGAGAGCAAAAGTAATAGCTTCAGTAGTTGCCGTAAACTTCATTTGCACATGAAAGTCATGGGAATGATCTGCCAGGAGAATAACACTGCCAGGAGAATAATCTGTGGGATTTTCATAGCATGTTGTCACCAGAAACGATTTGCTCTTCTCTATAACGAAGTTTCTTCAGTCTTTTTATGAGACACTTTAATTCTTACAAATGCAGAAAACGTACTGCTCTAACAATGGATGGATGAGCTAAGCACCCAGTTCCTTCCTCTACACCAAGCCATTGTAAACCACACCCTATCCTCTATCACTCAGCACCGTTTGCTTAAAAGTATACAGTGATAAGCACAGCTCTGGCTGATGAATGGACTGTTTCTTCAGAAGAGGAGATTAGAGTCCCAGATTTCCTACATGACAGCAGTAGCTGCCGTGACTTCTCCCTAGCATGAGTATGTGACCAAACTTGTCCAACAGGCAGGTGTTTTCATCGGAAATGTGATGCAGTTAGATAAAATAGTTCCCAGAGGCAATGGAAATGCAACTTTTTTTTGCAATTAATTGCTCTGTTACATGGCTAGTAGAACAGACACGTGCTGTGCTCACATCTGTTGTGCAGCTTCCTTGGTCCATGTTTGAGACGCTGTTGCAGAAAAGCAACTGTCTTGTTGGAAGACAATAGTATTTACCTCACAGAGGCATCTTCTTGGAAGGGCATCTGGGAAGAATGAAGTAAAGCAAAAAGAAAGAGATCTTCCTGGCACAGTTGTTCATTTGTGTTTACTTTTGCTTGTTAAGGGGAAAAAGGGAAGACTGTTAAAATACCATTATATTGTATGTTACCTCTCTGAACTTATTACACAAGTTATACAATTGTTCCATGCAAAATGTAGCAGCACTGAAGTTTGAGATTAAGTACTCAGGAAGTAGATTAAGGCATAAAGCTTATCTTTCTACCTGCCTGCACTTAGTTCTTATAATATTATCTCTATATAACATAAAAATGATGAAATATAAACTGGAAATACATACAAAGGCCTACAGTTATTTTAGTAGCAGGGTGCTCAGCAGGTATTCATTCTTCACTTTCTTTTGCACTTAGTATTCTTTAAGAGTGATCTATTTCAAAACAACCACAATTTCAAAGGACATATGACCAAGACAGGGTAAATAACTGATAGCTGTGACTCCAAGTTAAAGGAAACTAATGCAGGACTATGCAGGACTTGCTTTTATCATGTTCATTCTTCCCCTTTGTTTCAGGTATTGAAAGATGGAGGGAAGTACTTTCTGGACACTCCCAATGAAGACTGTGGAAACTGGATGATGTTTGTCCGGCTAGCCCGGAACCAAGAAGAACAGACCCTTGTGGCTTATCAGCACTGTGGAGAAGTTTACTTCACAACAGTTAAGGTAGTTAAACTGACATTGCTTCACCTGTCATCCAAATGGAAATGTATAAGCAAAGGTTCTGAAAGACCAACTCTTTTAAAGATGAAAGAATGATTATATTCTGCCAACTGGATCTTTATTGCACACCACCTTTTATATCACTTAATCCATAGTAAAGCAAGCAGTATATGGAGTTTTTCAGGGAAGGTGGTGTGTACCTGCTGTTGTGGGTAGTGAAGAAACTGAGCAGAGGGAAACATAAAAATCATTCATGATGGTGGTGTTTAAACTGCATTTAGTAAAGTTTCTCAGTTCCAGATATGTACCTGGTAAGATTATCTAGCCTTGTTACATTTGACAGTACTTCTTTCTGGAAATAACAAACACATTTCCTTTGCTTTATTACATTTTTAGACATGTGGTGTTTTCTGAGCACATTACCATGTGCTCAGGAACAGGGTGTTAAGCAGAATCTTATTGTACTATTTTCCATGCTCATCAAAACTGAAGACTTAACTGCATAACTAAGCAATAACTTAGCAACATACAATGTTGCCATGAAATGATCAGTTTATGTTAGAGATTCTGAACTGCATCTTTATCTGTGGAGAGAGAACAAAGTGGTCTCTATTTATAAATAACACTGGAACATACAGTCTATTTAGTTGTTTTGGCCACTTTCTCAGGCAAATTTTGTTTTAATCAGAAATAACTTTCTTGAGTACTTGGGAAACTGAAGTCTATCTGTTGAACATAATGCTTGTGTATCATTATGAACAACATTAAAATTTAAAAAAAAAAAAAAGGAGTGGATATTAGTCAAAAGAAGTTACTATGCAATTAAAATCCAGCATTTCAATTTCATTTGGCACACATTTCTGTGGCATAATAGTGTTTAGTGTTGTTTCTCCATTTTTGTTTTTCTACCTGTCCAGTGAGGAAAAATGTTTACTGCACAGTGATGCTGAGAGAATAAGTTAATAGTGATAACTTTTCACACCCTCAAAGTAATTTGTAACAGCATGAAGTATATTTGGGGTTTGATTAATATTAAAATAATTATTAGGGGGGAAAAAAGAAAAATGGGAAGCAGTATATGCTATTCTGAGGCACATTTAGTCTGTGTTTGAGATTCTCATGCAGTCCATACCATTTGAGATTTCAATTTGATTTTAAGATTACTTGTAAAATTGACATGATTACTAATGCTATATTTGGGAAGCATGAACTTTTCTAAGAAGTAGTTGTTATGAACCGGTAACTTACAATTTCCAGTATAATTCAAATACTATTGAACCAGCTCTTTGCTGACTTCAGCAGAATCCTGCTTATTGGCATTAATGGAGAGTTGCATCCTACATACTCACACAAAGATTATCCTAGGGTTAGGCATGTGTCTTGGAACCTTTACTGTGGTGTGTATCATAGGGCATGACTTGGGTTTTATTTCTCCTGAATCCCCATATCATTCATGGTACTGTGTCATCCTGCAGATTTTGCCCTGGTCAGTGAAAGCAGTAGCCTTGTGCTACAGTTAGGCACACCCTTCTGGTCATGCCATGAGGCTGCCTTAGGGCTGACTGTGAAGATATTTTCTCAAGATATTTTTAATGAAGTATGTTAAGTTGGGGGCAGGATCGGCTCCTTTCCCCACTGTTTTCACAAAAAAATAGGATTTCGGTGACATGAAACTACACCTACTAAAGCATACATATAAGTGGCATACTAACAGTACCATTAGCTTACTTGCTGACCTAATGGCAGCAGCCCCTACTTTTAAAAGGTACAGAATTGTGAGGAAGTAAAAATCAGCCATAGTTGCTGCTTAATCCCAGGATAGTTTCACATGGGCACTGCAGGAGCTTTCTTTTATTGTCACGGGTGGCACAGAATAAAAGACATGGATTTGGATACTGGTGTTTAATGTCAGTTTTACTGAGATTAGAGCTCTTACCTTACTTGACTATTTCACACACTGATGCACTTGCCCTCCAAGGCCACATTGACCAGGTCTCAACTTCCCACAGGGAAGATGGTTGCTGGTCCAGTAATTTTGGGCAGAAGGTCATGACAGTGTCATGCTGCGCAGTTGTTTGTGGGTATCAGTCTCAGGTGTCACTGGCCAAGGTCACAGGACATCCTCAGACATTTGTGCCTCTGAAGCTCCCCACAGCTTGGTTTTCTCCATTGAAATAGCCTATGTGGAGGAGCACAATGCATGATCAGCCTCGTAGCTGATGGCTCTGCCTCATGTCCTTAGTTGAGTGGAAAATTCAGCATGTACAATTTCTGTTCAGGCCAGCTGTTACCAAAACGCAAAACCAACCCATACTGACTATAGTTAGCAAGCAGGAGTGCTTGGGAGTCCAAAAATTCAGTTTTCAACATTATACACAAAATTATCCCTCACCTGTCAGCATTCACAATCTAAATTGTCTTTACTGTGCTTATTCCACACTGATGTTATAAAATCAGTGCATTTTGTAATGTCAGATTTTGTAGAATAAGACTCAGCTACTATCCTTCTGGGCTAGTTTGGGATTTTTTTTGGTGACACAAGTTTAGCTTAGTTAAAATAAAACTACAAACTACAGTGCAGTTTGGCTCTACCGCTGTAGCAGCTATGTTGGGTTTTATTATAGATGAAGAAAATTGTGTACAGGGTCAGGGAGTCATATAAATCATGACCCCAAAGTTTAGTTTTCTCCTTTGCTTTTAAAGAACTAACAGATCTTTAGCCAGTGAGTGTAATCACTCCTCTCTTCTATTTGCTGTATTATTGACTGAAAGTATTTGTCAGAAGAGGTCATAGTCCAGTCTAAGGAAAGATTTGGGCAAGCATGACTGGATGGGAGACTGCAGATTATGGACTCCCTTAATCCTGTGGGGGGAAGGCTCCAGTGGAAGGAGGGGAGAGTAACAATAAAGCACACACTTAGTGAGCCTGACACATCAGAGCCAGCGCATGGAAACATGCCAATTTGAGTGGCAGTCCACATATTGATCAGCTCTGCACCCATGCTCAGTGTGACATATCCAGGAGGCATCCAAGCTGTTGTGCGTTCATAATGGGTTTTTCCTTTGTCTGTACGCTGTAGTTAAGTGTTGTGTCCAGTGGGCTTCCAGACCCATCAAGGAATGGGCATAGGATATTGCTTGGAAAGACTGCTGGATGTGTGAACATCACAGACAAATACATCTCACTGAGCAAAGGTCATGAGGATTGAGGCATCCCTCCTGCTATTGCCTCCCCCCCACCTCCCCAAATCTCTGTGCCTGCACAATTCTGCTTTTAGAAACAAAAAGTGTTAAGCCCTAGTGGGTAATAATGCTCAAAAAGTGCCCGAATCTTGAAACTAAATTACCAGTAATTTAGACAGAGTCAAAAAGTGCAATTAGGGTAAGGACAACAACTTGCACACCCCAGCCCCTCCAATCTTCCATATTATTTGGTTTAGGAAAACAGGCACAAGTAAACATGTGCTATATTTTTTTCCATTCACAGCCAATTGAACCCCACACAGAATTGAAAGTATGGTATGCTGCCGATTATGCCAAATTTATGGAAGCTTCCGCAGTCTTCATTAAAGAAGAATCAGATGTCTGTCCCGTGCCTCCAGTTGCAGTAAGTACCACTAATCTGCATTCAAGCCATCACTATACATAGTAAATTATAGTTTATTTACGTGCTTTCTCCATTTATGTAACTCTGGTCATGCAAGGTTAGACCATAGAGTAGCTGGCTAACACAAAGCCAAGAGCAATTTTAACGAAACAGCTACTCAGAGAAAGGTTGCTGTTTCTCTCCTGTGTTTGTAATCCAATGGAGCCATTAGATGTAGTCAGAGGTAAGTGGCACTGCTCAATGTATTGGGAAGACTAAACATTGGCATTAATTCATGCATAACCAAGCAGTCCAGCCTCAGACTTCTTTCACCATTTCCCCTTGTTATGCTCTGATCAACTGGTCAGATTATCCGCTGATTATTTCAGTCTTTCCTGTGCAACAACCCTTCTTTTCTAATCTCAATACCTTCCCCTCCGATAGGAGAAATCCTTAAACTGATAGGAAAAGCTTGTAAAGTGTTGAAAACATGGCTGTGAAAATTGATACTTAAGCTAGAAGGAAATGTGAAACAGGGAATAAAAATGAACTGGAAATTCATACTCCAAGAAGGCATATGAGGCCTTCAGAGTATGCTAGAAGGAAGGTGTGGGAGAGCCACAGCATCAGACATGAGTAACAGAGAGGAGGGCTCAATCTGGAAATAAAGATGGAGTGGACGCAGGCTCACCATGCTCTCCAAAGCAAGCTAGCCCAGGAGCAAGGGGAAGTAAAGTCAGTTTATAAGAAGCTTACATAAAAGGTAGATGCAGCTGAGGAAGTACTGGGGTCATGTATTAATTGGAAGTACATTTTGTCAGTGACTGGAATTTTTTGGTATCTGTTTTTCATTAGAAATTTTATAATATCAGTATTTAAAGTGAATTCAACTGAATCCAATAGAGCTCTTATTTCCACAGAAATAATACTTCCAAATAATATACTGTATAAAAAAACCCACCAACCCCCAGAAATAATTTAATGCCTCTAATTCAGGATAGGCTTGAGACCCCTAAAACCTAAAGTGTTTCTTATCAGGTTAATGAAAATCTAATGCCAAATGTCAAGCTAAGTGAGGAAGCCTCTCCTGGAGACATTGATCATTACTGTCTGGTAAAGCATGGAGTCCATCCAAAACACAGGGAAATCCTGTATGGCTAAACTACATTAGTATGCAGAAAATCACACATTTTTGTGAGGTTGTAATAGCAGGTAAGTTATGTCAGTCTAAGGATAAAGTACAATTTTCAGCTTCTTTTATAAGTAATTTCATAAATGCAACAAATGTAGAGACTTTGAAATTCAGTAAGTGCAGAGAAACAAAGGTGAAGGACTTAGGACTGTTACAATAAATGCTAAACAAAACCATATAAATCAGTATTTAGCCAACCTTTTTTTTTTCCTTCAAGTTTGTGTTCTTAGAGAAAATCTATTGTCAGTTGAACAACTGTGTGGTAGTACACAGAAGTAACTATTGCCAAAGACAAAAATTGATATGGAAAAGCCCAGGAGAAGATTGGTGAGAAGAACATGACCTTTCCTTAGAATGGCTAATAATAAAGAACTGTTTGTATTCTCATTGCAGAAAGAGCCTGTAGACCCTCGGATATGCTCCAGTTGTGGCAGCACTTTTGCAACTTTTTCTCTGCTGGAATCTCACCAGTGCATCCATAAAGACCGAGTCCTTCCTACGAGGTTCAGACCACCAAATAAATTGGGACCTGTAAAAGCAAAAAGCAAACTCAAAGGGAAACTGAGAGGAGCGTCATTAGGCAAAAGCATTACTCAGTGCTTTGGGACCATTTCCTGTTCCTCTGCTGCAAAGTTTGGCTGTGCCAGCTCAGGAAGCACTTGTGATGCTCTCGTGAGGTTTATACCTAAATGGAGAAATGGTCGGTCTTCACTATTGAAGGGAAAAGAAGTGAAGCAGACAGACAGTTACCCTTGCCGACTCTGTGGGAAGATATTTGATTCCACTGATAAGCTCACAGTCCACACTTACACGCACAAGGGGAGCGTCCCTACAAGTGTTCACAGCACGGATGCACAAAAGCCTTCATTTCCAAATATAAACTGCTCAGGTACAGCTCTGAAGGCATTTCTTTTCTGCTGGATGTGGGGGATGTTCTAGTGACAGTTAATCCCTGAGTTCCAGGTTTTATTATTTCTGTTTGGATAGAATTGGAGAAAACTAGTTTCCCTCAATTGTGATAAAGATTGTTTTGAGCCATTTTAATCTCAAAAAGATTGTGTTGAGCAGTTTTAACCTATTCTATGCTTGATGATTAAAACCTTCCTCCCCCCAAAAAAATTTAGGGTTTTACTAATAACCTGAGAACTTGAAAAAAGACTTTCCTTCAAGGTTGCCAGTGTTTTCAAGTCTTGAATCTGCAAGAGTAAATGTGCTAGTATAAGTGTAAACACAAATAACCTTTTAGTGTGTGTGTTCTGTTTTTTTGTCCTAGGCACTCTGCTACTCATTCTCCACAGAAATCTCACCAGTGTGGCTACTGTGAAAAGACCTTTCACAGGAAAGACCACCTAAAGAATCACCTTCAGACTCATGACCCTAACAAGATGGCCTTCAAGTGTGAAGAGTGTGGCAAGAAGTACAACACCAAGCTAGGTTATAAGAGACACTTGGCTCTTCACGCTGCCACCAGTGGGGACCTTACCTGTAGGGTATGTGCCCAAGAGTTTGGCGGTACTGAGGTTCTGTTGGAACACCTCAAAAGTCATGCAGGGAAGCCAGCTGGCAATATGAAGGAAAAGAAACATAAATGTGACCACTGTGAGCGTCACTTCTATACCCGTAAAGATGTGCGGCGTCACATGGTGGTTCACACAGGCTGTAAAGACTTTCTGTGTCAATTTTGTGCCCAAAGGTTTGGGCGGAAGGACCACTTGACACGCCATACCAGGAAGACTCATCCACAAGAACTGCTAAAGAGCAGGCTGCAGAACGGTGAGTCAGTGGGTCTCCTTGACCAGCTTTTTCCATACAGGCTGAAAGAAGATGCCAGCATGCTGTCTTCTCTTCCTGAAAGGGTCTCTGTGCAGAATGGTATTGTGAATAGTTCAGAATCTGAGGAATACAACTGTTCACATCTTCATTCCCAGCCAAGCTTACAAACTGCTCTTCCTCTTGAACCTTCTCCTCAGTTGCAAAGGATGGGCTGCACAGACAGCCTTCCAGCGGTCCATCCCACACCGTGTTCAACAGCCGTCCCTACCAACCTGAACCTTCATCAGCCTAATAAATATGACCTTAGTTCTACCTCACTTGCAGCAGGATCCCTCAAGAATCTACCAATAAAAGTGGATGTTAAAGGTTACAACGTGCATCTACTCGAGGACCTGCCATTACCAGAACCTCAGTCTCTGCACAAAATCAGTATGGAAGAGGATTCCTCAGGGCCTGCAGGGGATACTAACAAGTACCCAGTGCACAAAGAGACAGAGGCAGCAACTGAAACTACAGGCCTGCCTTTCATGGATCTCACTCATGTGATGAGTTTCTGGCAGCTCCCACCAGGTGACAACCAGAACACTATTGGGGACTTCACAATGGCATTTGGCCCAGAGGAACCATCACACAGGCTGAATGGCCTCGGCCAACAGCAAGGTCTTCAGCTAGCAACTGGTGGGATGGCCATAAACCAGCTGCATCATTTTCCTCGCTCCTTTCCATCCACTACAAATTCTGTAACCTTGCCTCATTTTCACCATGCTTTCAAGTAACTATCACCCTGTGTGTGGGGTTTTCCTTTTTTTTTTTTTTTTTTTGAGACTGTGCTTCTTACTTAAATCTGTTAGGATGGGGTGGTTTTTGGTTTTGTTTCGTTTTTAAGAAAAACTGCCCCAAATGTTTTCAAAGCACATTATGAACATGGTAGTTAAATTCAGGATGTTAATAAATAAGAAGCTCTATTTTTCATACTACTATTAGTTTTTTTAGCATATGACAACAGTAGAACTAACGTATTTCCCTCAGCTCCCTCTATATTTTTGTTGTTACCTTTCATGCAAACATCTGAATAAATATCTTCAACGATAGAAAAGTGTCATAACAGGCACAATAAAACTATGGCTGCTGCAGTAGGAGAAATATGGTTAGGGTGAATGGGAAGAAGGGGGAAATCACAGAAAAATCATTTTAATGAGCCATAAATCACAGCAAATGTGTACACATAGCAAATGTAACAAATGATTAATCAACATCACATAGATTATTGTTAAGCATTTAATGAAGTTTATTAATCTTTAATTTAAATCGGAATCATTCCAAGAGTAAATCTTACCTCCGTGGTTCCCTTTTTTCAAATGAATATCATCACTATTATGATTATGTTTAACTAGATTTTGTTTTCTGACACGCGATTCAGCTGTGTGCATCTCATGCCTTTTTCCTTGGGCTGGAGGTTGCTATCACTTCTGAATGACTATGTAAGAACTGCTGTCTTGTATATGTGCAGTTTTCAGAATGGAAAGTGAATTGTTTCAAAGGTTAGAACAAAACTTTACTTTTCATTTAGAGCCAGATCTGCCAAGGTATCAGACACTGCTTTCTCTCTCTCCAGTAAAGCACTTAAACATTTGCTTAAATTTAAACATGTTATCCTGTTGGGTCAACAGCTTGATTAATTTAACCTTTAATAAAATATAGTGCTTCCTACCTAAGGGGCCTTTATTCACCTTTTGTTGATAAAAATGGCCTTTGTTTAGTCTGGGAAATTAATTAATTATTATTAATATTTAATTATTAATAATTAATAATTATTAATTGTAACTTTCTGAAACATGGGCTTTCAGAAAGCCAACCCTGGCCCAGGAGAGCCTGCGCCCAAGCAGGACCTCTCTGGGGCCAGAGGCATGTCCATGCACTTAAGGGCTGTGGTGGTGAGCTGACCCCAGGCCAGGGTCAAAACCAGGGTCAGAACCTGCCTCACAAGTGCCGCCTGAAATTAGCGGGTGTGATAACAGTTCAGGCCATTTTAATCACAGGATTTTTCTTCAGTAGCGCTGGGACAGCTGCAGTTGGACTTCCAGCCTTTGTTTTTTCCAAACCAGAACCATGGGGACTTCTGTTTTGTTTCCTGGGGTAAATTGTCCATGAATATTTCCAGTTGACAGTTTTGTTGGTGTGACAGTCCTAGCACTTGAAGCATGAATGAGCAGAAATTGCAAAAATCACATTTCCCGGTAGATGACATTATCAAAAAAACCCAAAAAAACAAACCAAAACCAACAATCACACTCTTCTCAATTTGGTTTCTTACCTAACCCTAGTTTAAAAAAAAAGAATAATCCTGGCTTTAATGGATGATGCAGTTACTAATGGATTCTGTTGCTGCTAAAACGAACACAAAATTTCTGAATCTGAGTAAATTCTCAAACCCCAAGGGCTACTCTCCCATTAAATCCAAAAAGAGTTCATAGTACCTAATGAATATTACAAATATAGCACAAAACAAGCATGTTCTCTTCTCCCTCATTAATCACAGGAGTGTTTTCAGACAGCTTCAAATAAAAAATAGTTTTTAAGTTATTTCGGATTTGATGTTACTGAGCTACAATGACATTTTACTACTACAATGATCCAAATATTCTTAGAAGTTTATTGGAACTTGGATTAAGGAAAGGTTGTATTATTACAGTTCATGCAAGAATATGTTCTGCAGATACAGTGCTGAGGGGTGTTTTTTGTTATGAAAATTTTTGGCATAAGGCAAACCAAAAGGAATCTTTATGATCATTCTTGTAATGGCAACAGCAAGAGGAAGAGCAGGTACTGCACAGTCACACCCAGTTAAGAGTTATTTAAATTATGAGTTCCAGAACAGAGAAAAGATTGTAATCAAGGTTCTACAGCTAGGCTCTTATTTTCATCTGGACTTGGAAAGGTGTGTGCATATTCACTTACTGCATTGTTTTCCTTGTTTGTGCAAACTGTATTCACTTGACTTCATCCAAGCTTATGTACCTGTAAAAAAAAAAACAAACCAACAAACAACAGCTAAACCACAACAAAAAAAAAGACTCAGTTTTGTAGCATTGCCTGATCATACACACATTTTGTCATTTTGATTTGTGCTTTTATAAATGGTGTAAATAATTATTGAAATACTTGTCCTTGAATTAAAATGTGATGTTGAGAAGGAATCATTATGAAAACACAGAAACTGGCACCCATGTTCTTTCAGCTGTCTTTCAGCACTCTGTAGCAAGGTGCTTGAGCTCTGAGCTGTCAAAAGAGGTGCTGCTGCCTGACCTCAGCCTCTTCTGAAATACGGAAAGATGATTAAGCAGCCGTCATCAATGCATATCTAGCTATGGGTTAAAGACCAAGTCTCATTCAAATAAAATGAAAATTGCCACTTTTGATGCATTTTAAAATGCTTAAAGAACACACAGTGATGGTGTTGGCAAGTAAAACACAGAAGCAAACCTTAAACATGTAATACTGCAGCTTTAACCTGTCAGCCTATTCAAGTTTCTTTTTCAGATTCTTGACATCATAAATGTAGTGAAAGCTGAGGACGTCTCATCACAAAGGAAAGCAAGCTATTTCAAAAAGTTGTATTTTCAGAAAAATTGTTTTAAAATTCTCTCAATTGAAGAGATATAAGATACCCCAGAGTCATCTAATACTGTAAGTAGGGCTGGACTTTCTCACCACTTTTGCTAGGGGGACCTCTGTGACCATTTTTGAGAGGCCTCCAGTAGCTGAAGCTGAAGAATGCTTTGTTTCTAGGCAAACAATTTTTGGGGGCTCAGTAGACCAGCCTGGTGTCGGCCTGAATATCACATTGCTTAAAGAGTGATAGTTTCCTTTTGGGGCAGTGCCAAGGGAAAAGTGTGGAGACAGCAGCTCTCCCTAAGCTTATCTGTGGTGTCTGAGAGGATGGAGCTGCAGCAGGCGGGCAGACAGGTCTGATTTCAGGCACTGACAGGGGAGAAGGCAGCAGGAGCTGCAGGACGTCTCTCTGGTGGCACTCATGCAGGGCTGTGACAGCACCAGTGTGAGGAGAGGCAGCCTCATGTACGCTAGGGGTGTGGTGGGGGAAAGCAGCAGCCCAAGAAGTGTCCAATCCTCCCTCCTCTCTGGCACATCCAATTCCTCCTCTAAATGTGAGAGGAGAATCCAAGGGCAGAGAGCTGGCTTGGAGAAGGTAAGATAGACCATGGAATGTCAGCTAAGAGATGAAACATAATGGTCTGGGAGGTCTTAGGACATTGTACCACTCATCCTCATAGAGAGAAGAATACTCTTTTATCTAAACTCTACTTGAAAATCTGTAGAAGCAGAGCAGTATGTGGTGATAAAACAGCAGAATTACTATAATCAAATGATACCATCAAATAATGAAATTTAGTAAACATTTGGTCTCATACAAAAATGCGTACTCATTTTATGAAAGAAAGGCATGTAAACCTGCTGAAATAATGTCAAGAAGCTAAAATTATACTACATGGAACACAAGACTGCATCTTCTACGTAAACACAAGTAGTTCTATTGCTAAGTTCCCGTCCTCTATCAGAAACCATGTTAAGTTCTTTTTCCTTCAGTTTTATTTACCAGCTTTTCCTGTTGGGACTTTCCATTTTCTTAATCACTGAGTTGCTCTTAATTCCAGAGAATTTTGCACTGCCAGTCTGAACTATGATGATACATTCCAAATATTAATGATTGGTTCATTTCTTACTAGTGGAATTTTTAAAGTTCTGTTCTTCAGTACACTGTTTCTGCCCTTATATTTTTTGTAAGATACTGGAAACTAAGCTGTGAAATCAAACACTTTTATACTCAGACAGAAAATAATGGAGGGACACACACACAACAAAAATACAGTAAAACTTGCTCTAACTTTTGAGGATTCATTCTTTTTTGTTGTTAAAGAAAGCAACTGTGGTAACATTGCACAGGATAGTGGGGAATATGGGGTTTTTTTCCCCTCTTCTTTCTGGATTGGAAGAAATGCTTAGCAGCACTGCTTTAGTATGTTGTGGACAATGTCATGCCTGCTGTTTCTAAGAGTCTAGCTGTAGGACTCCTGTGTGTTTCAGTGTCATCCTTTCTGTATTTATCTAATCATTATTGGCTAGAGCCTAAGTAGAGTTTAATGAAACTCTGTAAAGTTTGGTATTTCCTGTTGCTGTGTCCAACTACTTTTCATCTTTGTTTACTTAATAAGTATTTAATAGGTAAGAAAATTCTTTATGGATTTTAATGGAAAGCCTTAATGAAAATTATTAAGCTAAAAAAACCCTACATGTTGCATCATTGAAAGTTTATGCAAGATGATCCAAGGCTGACAGTGGATCGAGTGGCCAAAAAAATAAGAAGGGGTATGCCTCCACAATATTTCTGTCTTATTAATCAATTTCTAAAAGCAATTAAGGTGTTTAATGCAAGAATGAGATTTGGGTTTAGTCTGAACTTGAAGTGCATTGAAGAAGATGCACAGTATACATGACCATTTATCACATATCAATCACTATCATTAATCATCTTATTGTTTACTTAAAGATTCTATTAAATATTTACATGAAATTCCAGAATGTTCACTTGTCTTGTTCAATATATCAAAGCATTAGGGGGAAGGAAAAAATCACATTACTGGATCTTTCTACATTTTGTTAAACCATTGAATGAACCCAGGGTAATAGCCATCCCCTGCAGGCAATCATTTAATTAAATCTTGGCAACTTATACAAATACTCTCACAATCAATGAGTTTCAGTTTGCTTGTTTTATTCAACGTGGCAGCTGTAGAACTTTAGGCAGAAGTGGTACTGAAAAATCGCGTTGCTTAAGATCTTCCATAACATGTCAGAAGAAAGCCTGAACACATCCTCGCCGACCAGCCACTCTATCTTCTGTTGTCCATTTGCGGTCTAAAAGCAGCAACAAGCCATATACTTGCTATTTCCTATTATAGAAACAGCTTTTATATTTTACTCCATTTTATCTAAGAAAATGAAACCTCTATCCTTGGGAAGGTGATGGAGCAGTTCATCCTGAAAACTATTTCCAGGTACATTAAGGGTGAGAACATTTATTTACACCACTCAAAGCCAGTTTCTCACATTTGCTTTCTCAGCTAAAAAAGTGCTCTTGAGTAGCACTGAAACTTGCCTGCACAAAGTGCTCTGTAAAGCAAAGCCTGTCGAAGCTCAAGTTTTATAGAAAATGCAGCAGCTGCCAACAGCCCAGCACCTGCAAGCTCACCCAGGCCACTCCTTTCCACAGTTCCACTGTTCTTTATTTTGGATGCTAGTGTGGATGCCTGTCCTGCGGACTGCTGGAGGCAATGGCTGTCCCAAGCCTCTGTATACTGACTACAACTACAACCCCAGTGATACCTGGACTCGCCAGTATCCCTGGGGAAAAGAGATGTCTCCTCCCCAAGCCTGCCAGGCCTCAAGTTTCAGAGTTCAGTGGCTGAACTTTGAGAATGGTGATGGTATCAATAAATCCCTGTTGCTGGTCTGCCAGACCCTGCATGATAACCATGAGAGTAATTATACTGTTAACATAGTCACAGGTACATAGTCACAGGTAATCTGGGGAGTGGAGAACACCAGATAAGACCACTAGGTACTGACAACAGTTTTTCCTGCAGCTGGCAAAGTCACAGAGGTAGGTGGAGCACCATGCCCTTTGCAGTCTTCCCCACAACTGAAGGTACCCGGCACTGACCAGCAGCAATCAAGGACAGCAAAACTGCACATAGAAGAACCCTGCAATGACTTTGAACGTGAGACTCTGTTCTGTGCACATTTCTCTTCATGCCACGCTCCAAGTGCTCTCACAAGCTCATCTCCCAGGCTCAAAATACCTTGCCAGCTACAAGGAATAATTCATGGCCACATTTCCTGCTGGGATCTCATATTCTGCAGCTGTATATGTGTCACAGGGTGCAAAATGCTGATCACCTGAGCCATCCCTTGGAGCAACAGCACCATGACCACCTCAAACAGGGGCTGGAGGCCTTCTTGCTGCTCTGAAATGGGTTTGCATGGCCCAAGACAGGAACCCCACTGACTGCATAGTCTGAGGAGCAGAAGCCCAAACATCATGGTCTGGGAAATTGTAAGAGCACAAGATCTGCCAGAGAGGTTTGCATTATCAAGCAGCAAATTCTCTCAAGATGCCTGTTACAGCAGAGCACATTCATTGCCTACCTGAGATGGGGCTGTTCCAGATGAAAGAACATTTAATTCCAAAATTGATTTCTCAGTAGCCTACACTGGGGGCCTGAGGAGCCCTACAAAAGTTTCAGTGCTTCAAATAATACAAAGAAGCTCATACTGCAGCAGGATATATTGAAAAACACCTGAAAGACAATGCTGTCATTGGTCACAGCCAGCATGGCTTCATGAGAGGAAAGTCCTGCTCATCAAACCTGAATTTCCTTTTATGACAAGGTAATGCACCTACTTGATCAAGGGAAGCCTGCTGATGTAATCTTTTTGGATTTCAGTAAAGCTTTCGATACTGTCTCTCACAGTATCCTTCTGGACAAGATATCCAGCACACAGCTGGATAAGCACATCATGTGTGTGGGGGGGGAGCAATTGGCTCACAGTCGAGCACAGAGGGTAACAGTGACATCAGATTGGGGACCAGTCACTAATGGGGTTCCACAGGGCTCCATCTTGGGCTCTGTGCTCTTCAACATCTCCATAAATGACTTGGACACATGACTGGAAGGGATACAGTTTTTGCAGATGACACAAAACTGGGAGGAGCTGATGACTCCCTCAAAGGCAGGGAGGCCCTGCAGAGAGACCTCAACAAATTAGAGAACTGGGCAATCACCAACCATATGAAGTTCAACAAGCAAAAGTGCCGGATTCTGCACCTGGGACAGGGCAACCCTGGATGTACGTACAGACTGGGGAGTGAGATACTGAAAAGCAGTGCCACAGAAAGGGACCTGGGGGTCCTGGTCAATGGCAAGTTGAATCTGAGTCAGCAGTGCCCTGGCAGCCAGGAGGGCCAACCGTGTCCTGGGGGGGCATCAGGCAAAGCATCTCCAGCTGGTTGAGAGAGGGGAATGTCCCGCTCTGCTCTGCACTGGAGCGGCCTCACCTTGAATATTGTGGGCAGTTTTGGGCACCACAATATAAAAAAGACATTAAGCTCTTAGAGACTATCTGAAGGAGGGCAACAAAGATAGTGAAGGGCCTTGACGGAGAAGCCATATGAGGACCAGTTGAGGTCACTTGGTCTGTTCAGCCTGGAGAAAAGGAGACTGATGTGGGAGACCTCACTGCAGTCTACAACTTCCTCATGAGGGGAAGAGGAGGGGCAGACACCGATCTCTTCTCTTTGGGGACCAGTGACAGGACCCAAGGAAATGGCCTGAAATTGTGTCAGGAGAGGTTTAGGTTGGATATTAGGAAGAGGTTCTTCACCCAGAAGGTGGTTGGGCAGTGGAATAGGCTCTCCAGGGGAGTGGTCACAGCACCAAGCCTGACAGCATTCAGGAAGCATTTGGACAATGCTCTCAGGCACATGGTGTGACTCTTGGGGATAGTCCTGTGCAGGGCCAGGAGTTGGACTTTGATGATCCTTGTGGGTTCCTTCACATTCAGGATATTATGTGAGTCTGTGATTCTGTGATATTGTATATCACAAAAGCAGTCAAGGCCCTTTTATGTTATAAAGTTGAAATAAAAAAAAATAAATTCTTACCCAAACTTTCCTGAAGAATTTTTCCCGGTAGATATACCCAAAGATTTTCCAGTTTTCTTCAGTATTTCTAAAGAAGTCTCTGCAGATCATTATTTAAAAAATTTATTGGCCATAAATCATGATAAACTACATAAATTCAACATAAACTCCAGAAATATAGGGATCAAAGATACTGATACAAAGAGGAGTTTGTATTATCATTCACATATTATACTACAAATGATCTTTAAAATAACTTTATAAAACATCTTCTAAACATAGACTGAGTCATGATTACCAGCAGCAATGGGTTCTAGAAAGTGCATTATATAGAGAGAACTGCTTTAGGGAAGTGGTGGTGTTACTTTTAAGGCTAAATCAACAAGGGCAAAGTCATATGGAACAAACAACACACTTCATCTAAATGGACCTAAGAAAAGGTAAAAATGATGGAATAAATCTTGAAGATTAAAGGCTACAGAGTCCTTTATGGGACAGAATAAACCTCAAACCCAGACTGTATATTTTAGGTCTATATAAATACTTCTGTTTGAGGACGTCTAATTGAAAACACTAAGTCCCTCCTCAGGACCCAAATGAAAACCTCTGTGCATACACTCCACACAATGGAGCAGGATAATGACCAGGAAAGCCATTCAATATCAACAACATTCACTTGGAAACTGTTGACCCTTCTCATTTCTAACAAGTATTGTATGGAAATGAGTTTAGGATTTCATGTCAAGACTTCAAAAAATTCCCACAAAAAGTCAAAATTTATAGTTCGACATTATTCTATCAGAAAACTGGATTCCAAAGCCTATGATCTGCTTTAAAAATGCCTCACTTGCCTCAAATATAACGGAGTTTGATATAAGAAAAATCATAAATAGGACTAACTGAACTCTACCTAGGCTAGATTTTTCTGTGTTGGCACCTTTTTGTACTCTCTCCAGAAGCGATAACACAGCAGGTGTTAATGTTGGAGTTTTTCTCTGGGTCAATGGCTGCTTGTCCTAGTAAAAGAAGATGCACAATCATCACTCAACTCTAGCAAGGAGGTTATGGAGCCCAGTGAAAACTCTCCAAATCACTGTTGAAGTAGTGCTAGGAAGGAACAGGAAAAAGGTCCACCCTCTCTCACCTGGAAGTCATTTTTCCTGCCCAAAACAGGTGAAAGAGTAATAATATTTTCAAACATCTTTAACAAAAAAAAACCAAAAACAAAACCAAAACAAAACAGAAAAGAAAATACCCAATACTCTCCTAAAGGAACAGTTTACCTTATAAATGTCCTATAGCAAAAGAGGACCTCACTTTAAGAGACTGATGATTACCTTCACTTTTCTGATCCCTCAAAGGGGCTCAGCCCTTTGGCCTTGTGTCTAATGACAAGGGAACAGCAAACCTCCCAACAACAGGGAGCCCTAAGGGACAGGAAGAGCTTTCTTCATGTATTGCAAAAGTTGCCAGTTTTCCGCTGCCCTACAGCAGAATTACCTGGAATTAACCTGGAATCCAATTGCAGAAGAGCCTGAGGAAATTGTCCCAACTTTTTTGTACTATCATACTCTGTCACTTTTGCGTCAGACAAAGGGCTCCAGTTATGGGCAACTCCCAGCTGACATTCAGCATGTACCTTGTTTAAAGAGTTTTATATTCATATGGGTCTTTACTCACCATGAAATTTCACAGATCTGCCTCCAGGACCATGCAAATGTGGCTGTGTGTACTTACCAAAGCCTGTCCAGGGATCTTTGCAGTATGGTAGACAGCTTGTTCTTCAGAAAACTCCATGCGCCTCTGTGCTGCAGCCTCACCAAACCTCCGTGAGCAGTGTGGACACTGAATGTAGTCTGACCATAAAAAAGGAACAGCTTGTGTCACACTTTATACAGTACAGGAGAAGAACTGCCCTGCCTTACTGGAGCACTCAAGATGCAGTTCAAAACCTGGCTCCACCAGCAGGTAACCATGATGAGTTCCCATCAGCTCCCAAAGTACAAACCTTGGAGAACTACAAAAACTTTGTCTAGAAAAATATTTGGGATCCTAAAATACGTGCTTATGGTATTAACCCAGCAAACAGTAATTGCTTTCAGAAATAAATCCCTGTGGATTAATAAAAGCAGATTTTATTATCTTTGTCCTATTCCTGGCCACCCCCAACCTCATAATTAACAAGTCTGCAGGAAAAGCATTATTTAAAAATTCCTAGCATAGACAAACCCAATGATTTTAAGACTGCTTTTGAAGACTAATCATTAAGGTTGCTATTTTGTTGAGGTGGCAGCAGCAGTGAGGGTTAGATAGACCTGTACAGAGGGTTCCTGAGCCCAGGGACACCTGAGCATCAGGCCAGAGCCCTGTCAGGACATAGAAGCCCTTAGAAGCTCATCAGGCAAGGAGGGGGCATTGCCAGGAGGTTTAAAGGCTCCAGAGAGCGTGGTGCAGCAGTTGGCGCAGGCAGGGCCTGTAGGAGGGCACAGCCGCCCTCCCAGCTCCTGAGGTGAGCCCACCTCACCTGATGGTTCATCACCTGCCCAACTGGTATAGACCCAGAAATGGTGTACACATCATGTCAAAAGCCATTGCTAGTAGGAGCATGGCAACCCAGCCAGAGCTCCCCAAGAAGCACACAGCTGTACAGGTCTCTGGCTGCACGGAATGTTTGAGCCTGCTGTTAAGTGCCAGAAGACAGCGGAAAAGACACCTCTGCATGCAGTGTGAACTCATGGATGATCTGCTCAGCCTGGTGGCAGAGCTTTAAAGAGGAGGTGGAGAGGCTGAGGAGTATCAGGGAGCGTGAAAGAAAAATAGACTGGTGGAGTTGCATCCTTCCATCCCTGAGAGAAATGCAGCGGATGGAAGCCCAGCAAGTCAGAGGAGCCCTGCCCTCTTGCCATCAGGCAGAAGACATAAAAGAAGGGGAGGGAAACTGCCTGCAGAGGTAGAAAAATCCTTTCCTGGCCTCCCTCACCTTTCCAGGAGCCCTTACAGAAAAGTTATGAGGCCCTGGAATTTGAGGGTCAGGCAGATAACAGTGAAGTAGAACGTCTTTCTAGCAGAGCCTCCTAGATCAGTGTAGTCAACCAGACAGACTGCAGCTATAGGCATTAAGAAAAAAAGAAGGGTAGTCGTAGTGGGTGACTCACTTCTGAGGAGAACTGTGGGTCCTGTATGCTGACCAGACCCATCCCACAGGGAGGTCTGCTGCTTCCCTGCGGCCCAGAGAAGGGATATTACCAGGAGACTCGCTGGACTAATTCAGCCCTCTGATGACTATCTTTACTGGTTGTCCAGGCTGGCAGCAACAAGGTCAATAAGAAAGGTACCAGGGTAATCAAAAAGGACTTCAAGGCACTGGGTTGCCTGGTTGAAGGGACAGGGACACAGGTGGCGTTCTTCTCAGTTTCTTAGGTAGCAAGGATGAATGCTGAAAGGAACAGGAAGACCCATATGATCAACAAGTAGCTTAAAGAGTGGTGCCATCTGTGGAATTTTGTTTTTTCTTGTTGTGGGCTGTTTATACAGCATCAGGCCTGCTGGAGACAGGTGGGATTCACCTGTCTAAAAGGGGGAAAAGGAATCAATGCAGTATGGGTAACAAACAGAAGGAACTGGTAGCCATTGTGCAGCAGGAGAGATATGACATAGTTGCCGTCATGGAAATGTGGTGGGATGACTCACATGAGTAGAGTGCTGCAATGGATGGTTATAAGCTCTTCACAAGAGACAGGAGAAGGAGAAGAGGCTGTGGGGTGGCTCTGTACCTTAGGAGGTGGTTTGACTGCATAGAGCTTGAGGAAAGGAGAATGAGGTTGAATTCCTATAGGTGAGAATCAGGGGGAAGGCTAGCAAGGCAGATATCCTGGTGGGAGTCTGTTATAAACAGTATGAGGAGGTGCATGAACTGTTGTATAAACAGCTGGCTGATGTTTCACAATCACCAGCCCTTGTTCTTGTGGGAGACTTTAACCTGCTGGAAACTCAGCATAACAGAGAGGAAGCAGCCTAGGAGGTTCCTGGAGTGTGTGGAAGACAACTTCCAGTTGCAGCTGGTTAAGTGAATCTTCTGGGGGTGGGGCCCTGCTAGAGTGTGAGCTGTGGTGGTCAGAGGTTGTCTTGGGCACAGCAATCACGATGTGATAGTTATCAAAAATTGGTGAAATAAGGAGGGGTGTCAACAAAACCTCTGTGCAGGACTTCTGGAGGGCAGACATTAGCCTATTCAGGACACTGGTTCAGAGAGTCTCTGGAGAAGCGACCATTAAAAACAAAGGGTCCTCCAGGAAGGCTGGACATGCTTGAAGAAAGAAATCTTGAAGGTGCAGGAGCAGGCTGTCCCTATGTGCCGAAAGGCAAGCCAGCAGGGTAGATCAGTCTGGCTGAGCACAGAGCTTTCTCAGGAGCTCGGGGAAAAAAAGAGGGTGTATTACCTTTGGAAAAAGGGGCAAGCAACTCAGGAAGGGTCATTAGGTCATGTAGAGAGATTACAAAGGCAAAAGCTCAGTTAGAACTTAACCTGGCCACTTGTGTTTTTATAAATACATTAATAACAAAAGGAGGGCCAAGAAAAACTTCCATTCTTTATTGGAGCTGCATGGGAATATAGCCACGAATGATGAGGAACAGGCTGAGGTACTTAACACCTTCTTCGCCTCAGTCTTCAATACTAAGACCGCTTATTCCCTGGCCTCCTGCTGGTAAACAGGGACGAGGAGCAGAATGGACACCCTATAATTCAGGAGGAAGTAATTTGTTACCTTCTGAGCCACTTAGATGCTCGTGAGCCTATGGGACCAGATGAGATTCATCCCAGGGTGAGGGAGCTGGCAGAAGCACACTCTGTCATTTATCATCAGTCCTGGCTAAGCAGGGAGGTCCCAGAAAACTGGAGGTTGGCTAATGTGATTCTTCCCCTGTACTCAACACTGGTGATGCCACACCTCAAATCCTGTGTTTAGTTTTGGGCCTCTCACTTCAGGAAGGTCATTGAGGTGCTGGAGCGTGTCCAGAGAAGGGCAACAGAGCTGGTGAACGGAATGGAGCACAAGTCCTGTGAGGAGCAGCTGAGGGTGTGGGGTTTGTTTAGCCTGAAGAAAAGGAGGTTCAGGGGAGACCTCATCACTCTCTAAAACTAGCTGAAACGAGATTGTAGCCAGGTGGGGTCGGCCTCTTCTCCCAGGCAATGAAGGACAGGACAAGAGGACACTGTGTTAAGCTGTGCCAGGGGAGGTTTAGGTTGGACATTAGGAAGAATTTCTTCACAGGAAGGGTGAATAGTTATTGGAGTGGACTGCCCAAGGAGGTGGTGGAGTCACCTGGAGGTGTTTAACTGGATGTGGCACTTAATGCCATGGCCTAATTGACATGGTGGTGTTGGGTCACAGGTTGGACTCTGATCTCAGAGGTCTTTTACAACCCAATTCATTCTGGGATTCTGTGATTTAGCAAAACACTGCTGAAGAAGTTGTGCCCCACCAGTCGAGGCACATCTAAGAGCCAGGTTTCTGGGTGTGAAGTAGCATGGTGAAGAGCACAGTCCTGGTTCTATTAAAAGCTATTCAGTGACACATGGCTGGTGCAGTTCGACTCATTTCAATGAGCAGTGTTCAGGGTCAGTGCAGTCACAATTCAGCCATCACACCGCCCTTGTCATTCCCAGACCCTTTTTCTCTGCCCAGTGCCTTTTACAAAAGATGCCCAAGTGTTCTTATCCCAAATACTAAGGATATAGCATTTTTACAAACCATTTCTCTCTGTAACAACACAGAAAAAATGGTGCAAGCAGCCATCAAAAGCCAGCTCCAGACCAGCAGCATGGGCATAGTGGTTCTGAACACAGAGGAGGGGAGGACAAGATAGGGCAGATGCCTGGCTTCAGGGCATCTGGAACTTCAGGGGAGAACGGGGAGGTTTTGGGCTCTGTTTGAAGAAGGATGAGAGGATAAAGGAACATCTCTCTCCTTTCCAAAATCCATGTACTTTCTCTCCAGTCCCATAGTATGGGAATATATAGCCCTGTAGTATAGGATATATACACTCACTAGGCCACTCAGCAATTTTTCCTCCCTAAAAAGCAGTCATTTACTTCACAACTTTCTCCACAACTCCTCCTCCTCTTGCAGAACTTGGTTTCCTCCAATAGGGAGAAGGAAAGGGAGGGTCTGCTCTTAAAGTTGGTGAAGTTAGACAAGAAATAACAGAATCATTAAAGAATTCAGCAGTGGAAATTCG